TGTGTGTGGCAACTCTGAAAGGTTGTAGAGCCACCCTTTTGCCCATTTCCCTGATTGCTTGGGTTGTGATTGTAGAACCAATAATTGTTGCGTTTATTATGACCATACTGGTTAAATTTCTGATTATTGCAAGAAGGAGTTGGTCTATAATTATAACTAGTGTTGCCTCTTCCACTTGAGGCATGACTCTTGTTTCTAAGAGCCTCTGAAATGAATTTATTAGTGGCATTCTCACTTTCAATAAGAGAGCCGAGGTCCTAACCAAATACCTCTTAATTCTTAGCAGGTGGGTTATATGACGGGGACAGAACCTTAATTGCTTAGTCCCTTCTATTCTGATTAATGAATGATAGAGAGTCAAGTAAAAGCATTCTAGTGTTTGTAAGTGATCCTTCAATAAGTAACCATGCTTGAAACATGTTTTGATCAGTGCATGGAGGTTTAGACACATAAACTAATTTAAGCACATTGTCCAAGGGCCATAAGGCTACTGATGTTCTATATAAAACTCTAGAAAGTGTTTTGTCCAGTTCCTTTGCATAACTAGATAATAGTTTCCAGATACATTTATCCATGACTGGAGGGTTATAGCTAATCTTTGCATTTCTAGATTCATTTTTGAGAATGTTTAAACATTGTGATCTGGTAAGTATGTTCTCTTGTGAATTTTTGTGGGCAAACATGCCATTTTTCCAGTTGGAAACCATGTGGGTAGAGCTTCACGTTCATCTGAACTGAAATTAGAGTCTTGTTCGCTGTGCTCTGAAGCCTGAGAAAATATTTCGTCACCGTACAATGTATCAGTATGTTGAATTGCACCCTTATCTTGGGTGGCTTGTGTATTAAGATTAGTTTGGCTATGTTGATCATTGACATAGTCCTGAGCGTGTTGGTTTGGTATGCTTTTATTGCTTTTGTGATTTAATAAATTGAGTGTATCAGTCATAGCGAGGTCGGTTACTAAAGCGTGGACAGTAGCCAAAATAACTGGTCTAAAGAGAGAATTGCTTAGTCTAGTTAGATATATACATGTAAAAAAATTTTTTAACTATTAATATTGTGTAACCTTATGATGTAATAGCAATAGTCTACAAAGTTTGGGCAGCCAATAATAAAATAGCCCAATGTATGTGATATTGTCTATCATAGCATGCGAAGTTCATTTGTCAAATATGGTAATTTGACAAATGATTGGCTACACGTGCTGCAAAGCAGCACATACTAATTTAATGTAATTAAGCAATTTTGAACTTTTACACAATATGCTAAGTATTATTGCATTAATTATATATTTATTAGTCGTTATTCTAATAGTTGTTTGAGATTGCAGTATATAGTTAAGGTGATTTTCTCTGAATCAATCATCCAGAAGGCTGTTTATTTTATCAATTACAAAACAATATACTTTGTAAGATTGCCTAATCTTTGATGAAGGTGATTTTCTTTGGATCAACTACAGTATTAAATAAATGCTTTGTTCTATCAATTGTATCAAGTAATCTAAGATTCTTTAGATTGTTTTTGTGAGATTACCTAGGTCATATAGCAAAAGTGACTCAACCATCTGGGTGGTTATTCGGTCTGTTACTTACAAAGAAATTTAATAAATCTATATTTTAATTTGTTTAATGAGATCGCCTAAACAATATTAAAAGTAGAGTATGCTTCTAGGTCCAGTCCGGGTTTGGTCTAGTTCGGGTCTGGTCTGGGATCGAACCAACTCAAACTCTAAATTTTACTAGTTTCAAACTTCAGACCAGACTCAAACTTAATCATGAGTTCAGTCTGGGTTTGTTCTAAAATTTGCAAACTAGTTCGAGTCTGAATATATTTATCTGGTTTGAAATTTGGCATGTTTTTTGTGGCTTAACTTATCATGTAAGCAGATTTGTAATACTAAATTTCACAAATCTACTCACATGATGAGCTAAGCCACAAAAAACATAGCCAGACATGTTAGCAAACGTCAGATAGTGCTTGGACCAGTTCAAAAAATCAGTACCCAATAACCTGGCAGTCCAATAAGCTACCACTTTAGCTAAATATAAAAAGAAGCTGAGTTAGTTAATTAAATTATATTTGTCTTTGTTATCACCATGGAATTACTGCTATATTTATAATTCCTAGAACCTTTGATAAAAGTTGGTCTTTGTTATCATAATTTCTGGAACACTTGATAAAAATTTGCAAAATAGATTTTTGGCTAATTTGATTAA